TTAGTTTAATTTAATATTTTTAATTGACCACCGAATCCAATAATGGAGAGGGACTACAACTGTCACACGTGTATCTCCATGCAAAAAGTGATTTAAAAAATAAATTAAAATTTTTTTTTTTTTTAATTTACTTTTATTTTTGTTTTTATTATTATTATTATTATTTTTGGTGTGAAATGAAGTATGGAAATAGAGTACTTATGACCCGTACGAAACGGATGTAAAGGCAAATGGTGAAACGGATGTCCACGTGTCGAGATCTGATTGACCACGTGAATGGCGTTTTGAAATTACGGGATTGCCCAAAGAGGATATGGAGGTGCCGCCGCCGCCAGGAGGGATATGATAAAGGCACGTAGATGGTGGGTCACAGTCCAATGAGGAGGGTTGGTTGGGATAGGTCAACGACGTCGTATGGTTTCGCATGGGTTTGTCAGAGAGAGTAACCGCCAGAGAGAGAGTTATATAGTGACTGACAGCTAACCCTCCCATTGTAGTAATCTTGAGAGAGAACGCGTTGTTTGTGACCTTTTCGCAGCGTCACCGACGCTTTGTTTCTCGTTTTTTGTATGGACGTGATCGATTTTTTTTTTTATTATTATTATTATTTTCTTTTCATATCTCGTCTCGACTCGCACGAGTATCGATATTTCTTATTAGAAGCGTTCATATGACTCGAGAACTCAACTAACCTGCATTATCTAACTACGTCATAAGCTCGTGCAAACTTCTGTTTCTTAGTAAAATGGGGTTCTACTGAGAAACCAAGGACTCTTGAGTTTACGTCATTGGTTGGAGTGAAGAGATTGAACCAGATAACAAGCCCTGATTAACGATTACCTAAACCAACCGTCCATCATGTACTCTTCCTATTCAAAGCCTTGAAGCTCGGAAAGCCCAAATATAACAATATTTGTTAGCAGTGGACTTGGGCTATTACAAATGATGTCAAAGTCAATCATTGGGGGTGTACCAGCAAGGACGTTGGGTCATGGTGGATTGTGAGATCCCACATCGGTTGGAAAGAATAACTAAGCATTTCTAATGTGAAAACCTATCCCTAGTAGAAGCGTTTTAAAACCTTGAGGAGAGAAAAGGACTAAGTTTGTTAGGTTCACCTAAAATGATTTGACTCGATTTCTTCGAAGTGGAGTTAGTAGCTAAGATTATGTTCATATTTGGTGCGACGTTCCAACTAATTATCTTTTCAAAGGAAAATCGTAAATTCCTACTTCGAAATATCATAACTTAAAATGAAAAAAATTGTTCGGTGAATCCGTCTCAATGTGGCTAACAATTTTTCACTGTTGGGTGTCTGGAGAGTCAAATAAGTTACCTCGAATTCATATTCGATGGTCATTCAAGACCAAAATTACCATTTTACCCAAACTTCTAATTTGTTTACTTCTCTTAACTCCCTACAATAATAATGGATAAATCAGATATTTAGGCATTAATGCAAATATTATTATTATTATTATATATTTTTATTTTTTAATATGATAATATTAATATAGAAATTTAAAGAAAACAAGTATATATTAATAATATATATTAGTTTAATTTAAATAATAACTTAGCTATTTTAAAAATGTATCATGTCATATCAACAACAACCATAATATAAATTTAATCATTTTTTAATTGAAAAATTGGAAATAATTTGTCCTTTAAAAATTATAATAACCCAATGATTAAGAGTGGGTTTATAATTATTATTTAATAAATGAAGCATTTTACAAGAAAAATATGTTCATTTTTTAAAACAAAAATTAGAAAATTTTGTTTTTTTTTTTTTCAAATGTTGCTAAATTATTTTCCATATGCAATAAAATATTATTTTTAAAAAAATTAATAAGTATTCTTATTAATAATAATAATAATAATAATAAGTCATCTAACATGATGCCCGAAAATAAAAAGAGTAGTGCACTTAACTATTGTGTGTATAAACAATACTACATACTGAAAATTTCAGGGCTATCAGATGAAAGTTTTAGGAGGATGTCGAGATTATCAGATGAAAATTTCATGGGATGCAGGAGAATGTGGGGTTATCAGGTGAAAATTTGAACGTTTTTTAGGAGATGTTTATCCATTATATTTAAAAATTTATAATTGAGATACGACAGTGGACGATAATTATATGAGATTTGTTGAGCATAAATAACCAATTTTGGTATGATCATGTTGGAATAAGAACAAGAAGAACATATATTAATTAAACTATTTATAAATAAAATTTGTAAGTTATTATATTTTATAGTCCAATCACCAATATATGATTGATTTAATTTACTATCATTTATTCAAAATCATAACATTTTAATAATTACTTGAAACTTATTTTTTGTCGGAGTTTCAACACGAAACCGGTAAGGATCTTCTCTTAGATTATCATATTATAATTTTAGAACTTACTACAAATGATTTTCCCTCATATCTAAGGAGAAACCGTGAACAAAAAACCGTAGATTTACCTCTCGGATATATCTTGTTTCTTGACGGAAAAACGACCTCAACGCCCAAATTACTCCTCTGAAGGTCCCTTGAGGCATCTCAAACATTTTTTCCTTTTATACCTCTTTGGAATCTAACTTTTAAGGCTCTCGATAAAATCCCGTAAACTTGAAAAACAGAGAGAAAATTAGAGAAACTAGGTATCTATCGAGATCGAGCAATATAATAACTCTCGAAAATAATCTTATGTTATAATCCATTAATTACACGTTAAAAATCAACCAAATATATCATTACAAATTTTCATTTATCATAGCTTATAATCTCATTTTTCTACCGCATTATCTAGTTGACTATATATTTTTTAAGAGACTAATTAAAAATAAAATTATCTTCATTGAAATCCATCTTTTACATTTGTAAAAATAATTAAAACTAAATGAATATATATAATATATGTGGGCTTCCACCTCACACACGGAAGATTGGATTGTCTGGATCACGAATCCAGAGAACAATTTGAAATGGAAAGAAAGAAACAATTTCTGGTCATAAAAACAGACAGACATGAATTGTGCAAGACGTTATTTCATATTTCAAATCCTTCGTACAGTGCCAAATAAGTTATTGGGTGTTCTTTTAATGGTTTTTGTACCCGCGAGATTATTAACTATACCGTTTTTGGAGAATGTCAATAAATTCCAAAATCCATTTCGTCGTCCAGTAGCGACAACCGTCTTTTTGATTGGTACCGCAGTAGCTCTTTGGTTGGGTATTGGAGCAACATTACCGATTATTTCGGTTAGGACACAGTGCGTCTCAGAGGAAATAAGACTAATTGGGCAAACAAAAAAGATTTTCGACAGAATGCTCGTACCCCACCATGCCTATCCCTTCACCTTACTTTAAGAAGAAATAGGGAGGTATGAAGCGTAGATAACAATGCAATCCGTGTATGATACAACCATATAAGTATATATATATATAAAAAGAACAAAAGAACAAAGCTCACATGCCATATCTTTTTCCAACTCATTCCAAAACATGAAATATTAATAATTTTGTGTGTATTTCTTGGTGGGTTTAGTTTCCAAATATAACTTTTTGACCAGAAAAAAGTAATACTCATTCAAATGGATGTCCTGGAAAATTGAGTTCAACCATAAATGCTAAATAACAATATCAATAATAATAAAAATAAAAGTGATATGAAAATAAAAGGGTCATACAATTATTTCACCGACTATCCTCCTTTCATAGACTTTCATTTATATATATATATATATATATATATATAGAAAGATTCCCATTGGATCTTAGTGAACAAAAGGGTTAATGAAAATCAATATTTAAAAAACGTGACAATTCGAAAAGTCATGCAAAGTAAATCATATGGTTTGCATTTCATTTTATTGAATAAACTATAAGATAAGATGTGAAATTAAAAATAACTTTTTGAAAATTAGAAGAAAACGAGATTTTATTGGATTGAAGAGACGTGTTTTCAAATAATTTTTTATGGCTTAAAAAAATCTTTTCAAAGATTTGAAAAGTTATTACGACTTTCATGACATTCAAATTCACGTGAATTAACTAATTTTAAGAATTATTGGATGTAAGGAAAAGTCTTACTCCGGAGAAAAGTAGACATTAACAAAATGTTAGTGGACAAACTAGCTTACTTCTAACTTTAAAAATGTCTAATAAATCATTTGATCCATTTTATATCACAATTGGTTCTAAACTTTCATCTCGAAACGAAACATTCGTTCTCCTTCACTCCTCTCCCTCTCGGTCTCGCAACTTCGCTCATTCGCCCATTATATGAGTCTCACAGCTTTGCTCCTATACCTATTTATTCTGGAACTGCTCTAGATAAACGAGAATTCATTCTAACTCCCACATGAGAAAAAATAGTAAAAGGTCTCGAGCAGAAAATGATCATATTTGACCGCTATACATTGCTAACATTAGAAAATAGAATAATCGAGAATCTCGAGTAACTGGCCATGCCGCTAAAGTAGCTAAGAAAAACATAAAATAAAGCAAAGGTCTAAAAGGGTGAGAACTTTCTTTATGGCCTGGCAAGGAAGTGTCTAAATTTTGTTTGGATCTTGGTTTATGAAGTGCTTAGGCTAAAGAAAGTTCATATAAATTGGGAATGTGACTTTGTTTAGAAAGGTGAAGACCATTACTAACTATAATTGCAATCCACGCTCTAAAAAGTCTATGATAGGCTCAACGTATGTAGTGGGTCGACATATATATACATATATTTTTCAAAGAGATGAATTAGATCATATCTAAGTAAACTAAGATGCAGGCACTCTTGAAATCACTCAACAAAAACGTATGGAAGATGGTTAAAACACGATGGACGGTTCTTTTTTCAACACAACATCACAAACTACGGGATGAAGATTTGAACCTATGATTCATAAGAACAAATAGAGACGCTTTGAACATCGGAAGTGTTCATGTTGGCGAATGAACTTCCCTTACCACACGTATATATATAGAGAAACTAAGTTGAAGATGACAAGTAAATGAATGAAGAAGGTATAATAGTCGTAACTATAATGCAAGAGGTCTCAACGTCGCCTTTAACGGTACCCCACCTAAGAATTTAGGCACATACTTGAGAAACAAACAAAGAGGCCAAGAACATTCTTCAAGTAACCCTTGAAAAGTACTTTCAAAGTAAGAAACTTCAAATCCAAATTCTAATGGCTCGTCTATCTAAGAAGATAAAATGGGAAGGCATTTTAATTCATTTAACAAGAATGAATGTTGATCGAGATCACTCGAACATAAATTCACACATGTCAAGCAGAGATGCCAATATCAATAAGACTAATGCAATGAAATTACACATTCTAGTCTAGTTTTTTTGCATACCTTTAAATTGTGGCAATAAGCAGACGAAAACGGATGAAACTTGCCTGAAGGATTGGGCAAGCAAATTTGGGTGAACCCTGTAAGAGTCTCCAATACCTGAATCCAAATGTTGAAAATTCAGGGACCTAAAAATACTTTGAGCTTATCAATAGTTCCAAGAGGAAAAATGTGGCAAAATCAAGGGAAGGCTTCTCGTAGTTTGGTGGGTAGATCAAGTTCAGGCTCAAAATCACTAAGTGGAGAGAAATACTGGTTCACCATATCTTCAGATACTTGCTCTAAGGTAGGAGGATTCCACTGGCATCATAACAAAAGCAAACACAGTTTTAAGAATCCACAAGAATCTGTTCCCATATTATCTACAAAAGCTTTTACTATTAAGAATGGGGTCAAATTATATGCTTAGTTACTATACTTTGAATAGACAGAGTAAACTAAATAGGGAAAATTGAAAATACCAACCCAAAGCTATATTGGTTGTTACAATTACATCTTCAAATTCGCAATTTGATTGTACAATTAAACTTTTAAATATTGCAGAATGCACAAACCCCTCATAAACTATAAATATAGTCACAATCCAATTTAACTCAGTTTTTTTTATTCTATAAAGTTTGAAAACTATATATTAACTATTAAGAAATTGATTTTCAGATGTTGAGCCACCATCCAAGTACAAGAAAACAGAAAAATGATGTAAAGAATTGGATTGAAGTATGAGAATTCATAGTTCAAGTGTTTGATTGAAACAATACTTACATCTCAGGTGTGGTTTGTGCATTCCACAATATTTAAAGGTCTAATTGTAATAATTTCATATGCTTAGGGTTGATAAATCAAAATGAAAATTGGAATGTGTGATTGCAGCAACCCATAGTTTGGATGTGGTTTTTTGCAACTTGCAAAATAAAACCTTTTTTTTCTTTCTTTTTTTGCAATTTTTCCTGGTAATTGTAAACAATTAAAAAGAATATGAGAACATAATTCAAGTTCAATAACATAATTGAAACTTCAAAATAAAATATAGACCTAATAACTAAGATGAAAAGAATGATGTTACAGACAGATACCAATTTCAAATTTAGGTTCTGAAGTTTGTTTGATATATGAGAAACTCAAGTATCATTTAATCTCTTACCTTTGGTAATGAGTCTTTGTCCACCATCCGTGCCCGAACACCCTGATGTTTTGCAAGAAAGAACTGATCAGGAGAGTTTGCAGCTTACATTAGAGGTCTAGTAGTGATTATTAGACTTATACCTCACGAAAATCACCCGAAATCTGCATGGATGTCCCTTGTAGGGACATTCTATATTCACGAGTCAAGCACTGATCGAATGTTTGGTATCTTCCTTCTCGTATCTGAACAAGTTCAATAATTATGATAAGTCAAGATGGAGACAAAAATAGGAAAAGATAAGATTTTCCTCTGCTAAGAAGAGTGGAGAGGAAGACAAAATGATTTGAACCTGTTATTATGGGAGAGGATTCTACTTTGAACTCCAAATGGGAAATAAAACTAGAGTAGAGAAGGAAACGAGAGAGAGAGAGAGAGAGAGAGAGAGAGAGAGACACCATACAGATTTCAAAGCGACCTTCATGCTCAACGGTGACGCTTCTTTCAATCGTTTTAGAGTGGCGGTATACCATGGATCATTTGTACCAGCTGACTCAGTTTCCTGAAAGTATGGTGGTTTTGAAAATAAGAGAGTACATAATCTTACTTCTTTTAGGAAATTTATTGAGAAAAAAAGCATCTAACAAAAGTTCAAATATCACTTCATGAACTCTTTAACTTTCATCAATCAAAAGATAATCAAATATGGATCAAATATCTAGAAATATGAACTAACCAATGAATCAATGATTTCTTCAACAGTGTCATGGCTGAAACATTTATCAAGTGTTTCAATCCTACAAAACAAATAAATAGATAAACAAACGTATCAGGTCAAAAGCATGTTCTTTATTTGTAAGCAGACAAACTCTATTTTAAGCAGACTATCTTTCTTGAACACATGCACTAGCCATAAGCACGCTTGGACACTCCCTGAGCTTGTCAGTACCAAATTTTAAGTGTCCACAACTTTTTGTTTTAACTTTACCCTTAAACGCCATATTAATAGGGAAAATCTGAGGGGTGGGGGAAAGATAGCTATTGCCAAAGAGACAGACAAATGTAACTTCTAAAAGACAAACAAAAAGGAGGCTCAACCCACAAATGCTTATAGAAAGAAAAAAAGATAAAACACCTCGTATTACATCAAATCCTTCAAACATGTTAAGATATAGAAATGTGTTTAAAATTTAAATATACATTTTAATATTTTATTCTACAATGTCCTAGTCTAGCAAAATGGTGTCTCGTTGTCATATGTTCCAGGTCCATATAATAGCGGTTAGACATTTTCAAAAGGCTTTACGAAACAAAAACAAAGTTGAAAACAATCAATTTTGTGAACCTGTGAAGTACACTCGTTTTATCTGGATAAACAAGATCACCATATTTCTCTAATGAAGATTCAATAACGGAAGCATCATCCGTAACCAAACTCCCTAGGTGCTCTTCAATTAGCGAAAGCCTCTGAAATTAGAAAGTAAACAAGTTTAATGACGCCAAAATCTATAGATCCTCTAAAACTAGAACGCCAAAGATTTAAGAACTAACTGAACTATGACAATAGTGCGTTGCAACCCCACAAGCAACCATTTCTTCTCCTTTGAGCTTTTCTCCTGTTAGTGCTAAGTACTCTCCTGCAAATGCAATCAGATCAAACGTAAATGAAAGTCATTGATTTCTCAATTCAACTCAGAATCTAACTTCGAACTTATTTCGCTATGCTGAGAAAACAATAACCCATTCATTATCAGGACCCAACCAGCTCACTTGCTCAAATATCTTATACTTCTTATTGATGCACGAAAAAATTAATCACTGTTGCAGTAAATTACATTGACAACGCACAGGCGTTGTTTGGTTCCTTCATCACATATAGTAGTCCCTACTGAAATATTTTCCCTCATTTATCTGTCAATCCCTAGTTTGGTTTCCAATCATTTGATTTCCCAAGGATTTCCCGCAGGTGAGATTTGTGTGAGCTATCTCTTGACAGTGCTCACACCAAGGTTTACTTCCGAGAATTAAACTTTCAGTTCCATTGCAGAATCGGTGTGCATGGGAAATTCTACCGTCATTACCAGGGTGACGAGTATTTCAAGTTTCCCAAACTCATGGAAAATTAGGTGGAACTCGGAGCTTGTACTAGATAGCATATAATTATATCTCCTACAAAATTTGTCCCATAATGTAGTACAAGATCAAAACCGAAGGAGCTTGGTTTGAGATTGGAAGCATTTGAAGAAATCAACACACAAATCGTTAGACTAAAGTTCTAGGAAAATTTGACAAAAAGTGTGTTTTAGGAAAACAACAAAACGAAGGAATGAAATATACTCTAATGCAGACTGGGAAGGTTAAAAAGCTGATAGAAAATCAGCGACTAACTATTACACCCTTTCTATTAGACAGCATCTGGTTGATGAGATATAGAAAACAGATGTAGAATCCTTCAGTTTTTTAAAGGCTAAGAGGTATCCTTTAATTTTTCTTTGCAAATCCAAAGCCCATGCCTTGGCCAGAACCATTACTTCGCAATCATCCTTATAAAAGGGTGATTGATTATATTCAGACCTCTTTCAACATAAGATTGTTTTTTTTTTCCTCCAATTCTATATGCGCATACTAGTCACTAACTTATACCCACATATGGTACTCCAGATGCTTGGCACCAAGGTCACGTAACACGACACACCCCCATGCAATATTAACATGACCTATGTAATCAGAACACAACAATCACTATTTTAGTTGAAATGATGCTGAAAGCAAATGGGAATCCATTTCCAGCCTCAAAACAAAGTCTATTCTCTCAAATATTCAAGACCAAAATCCAAAAGACATTCTGCATTCTTCACAAATGAAAAGGAGATCTCACTTATGCATACTAGCTTCATCCAACACAAAAATGAAGAAACACTTCCAGGAGAAGCAAACAAGGTAACACTTCAAATATATATTACTGTTATTCTGATTTTGCATTAGGAAAATAAAATGTCTACGCTTCACAGTTCAACACAACTAAAGCACAATAGTTTCATCCCTTGATCTAAAAGCAGTCACATGCACGTACAAACTCCATAAGCAAGTCAGAGGACACTGTTATCATAGACTGAAATGAACACACGTTATGCAGCATTGGAAAATGAAATAATTATAACTAACACCACTACCTTCCCTAAAAATAACCTTAATTTGCTTCCACCGTGCAAGATTTTGAAACAATTCAAATATGATGGAAAGTATCGAAGTTACCCAAGCGACCAGGCAGATGAGAGAGGTGGAAGGATGCACCAGCATCAGGGTGGAAACCAATTAGCGCTTCAGGGAAAGCAAAAACCTGAAATTGGTTGAACAAATGTACTTGACGATCAAGACAAAAGCTTTTAAAATGAAATCATTCAATACTGATTATAATGAGAAACTATTGTATTGATTGTCTGTTAGCTTCAGTATCAAACCTCAGCAATCTGGAACAGAAATGTTAACAGAGACAGATGGATTTTTATCCTAGTAGGATCCAATAGCCTTAGATTGCATGGGTTTTCTCTCAAGTGGCAGTCTATTCCTTGAACTCTCTTTTTTTGGTAGATTGACTATTAAAGATCTTTTTAGTCGGGTATCATCAGCTCCAATTGGTTTTTCTTCTTTTTTTTTTTGGGGGGGGGGGGGGGGGGAAA